CTTGGCCTGCTGTGTTCATCCAGCTCTACACCTTGTTATCTCAGATTTTCCAGCATCTGCAGTTCCTACTATCTCCTATAGCTACCCAACTGCTTCTTGCAGTGACTGCTTTGAAACACAGATCCCAGAAGAAACAAAGCTTCACTCACTCAGTACTTTTGCGCATGCATTAGCTGTGATGCCATATGAATCCATTCTTTCTGAATCTTTCAATACTTTACCACAAGAAGAGTGTAAAAGTAACATTGTCCCAGGTTTTCAGAGAACTAAAAGGAGGCCAAGTCAGGAAAGTGAGAATAACAGAAGAACAGGATAAGCTTGTTTCGGTGTTTAGCTGGATTTTACAGGGATTGGGAAATGTTTTAGATTAATCCCTTCCCTAAAGGCATTGTGGGGCTATCTAAAGAGAATGGACTGCAGTGGTTCAAGAAGGCAGCTCACCACTACCACCTCAAGGGCAACTGGGATGGGCTAATAAATGCTGGCCAGCCAACAGCACCTGTGTCCCACAAATGAATTTTTAAAATTTCCTTTTTTCTAGTTTCTTTAAATATACAATCCTAATTATTGCCCAATGGGACACAAGTAAAAACTATTTTGTATCACCTGGAGAGAGTATCCAAAGGACTTCACATTCAATTGATTACTATTTGAATATTCTTTTCGTATTCTTTTAAGCGATGTGTGTGTGTGTGTGTACTGACAAAGCTGGCATTTTTTAACTCCTCTATGAATTTCCTTGGAACTGAGTGGTTTGCTCAGCCATATCACAGGGTAACTAGAGTCCAGTACATTGCTGTGGCTCTGGAGTCACTTGTAGTCCAGACCAGTAGATTTCTTTACCTAAAGGATCTTAGTCATCAGATGTTTTTTTTCTTTTCTGCCAGTCAATGGTAGTCTCAATAATGATGACCATGAAACTAGTTTTCAAGTCTATTATTTATTCATTTTAAATTCCACTAGTTGCTATGGTGGAATTTGACAGATCGCTAACTTGGGGTCTCTAGGTTGCAGTTCCAGTAACTCTTTGAGCTGCCTGGTTATGAGCACCAACTTGTATCTCTGTCGTTCAGTTGTGATCGTTAGCTTGAATAAATATAGTCTCCTATGAATGATGTGTCTGCTTCGTCATGATTTATTATCTGCTCTACGAAGGCTCTCACTACGTTCATGGAGAGTCTAAGTGGGCAAATAGGTGAGCTAAATAAGTCAGAAGTTTTACTGTGCCAAAGCTGCCGTATAGTTGGTAGTTTGAATTTTTTGCAGAGCATTTGCTCATAATTTGAAGACTAACTTGAAAATCAGAACACTGTACTTTTCTTTTTGCCCTGTTCTTATTTTAACCTTTTAACCATTTCTGTGAAGCCTGAATGTCAACTGTTATCCACCAATATGAGTAGTGTATCACTAATGTTTTCACTTTGTCTTCCAGATCCGTAACATGGTGGCAGTGCTGGAGGTAATCTCCAGTTTGGAGAAGTATCCCATTACCAAAGAGGCCCTTGAGGTAAACAGCTTTCAACACTTATGCTACAGCATTCAATTAAAAATGCTCTATTGCACTTCTGAGCATGTCACTTCTAACTTCATAAATTGGTGCCTTAACTGCTAATTACCAAATGGATAAAATCATAGGTTAAGGTTTTTCCTCAATGTCTTTAATAATGAGTTTTCAATTTGTAGAAAAGTTTAGTTATGTTGACAGCTTGATTTAAGATCAAGAAAAAGTGAGCAACTTTGATAATGTAAGTGGTTACTGCTCTTCTCACTTTATACTGTGGGGTAGATTCAGCAATAATGTTGGATTCACATGCATAGATCCTCCACGTCATTGTAAATTTGAAATAATTGCAAATGCATTGAACTGTGGAGCTGGTGTTGCTGTGTCAACTTTCAAAGATCTCTGGCTATAATGTCAAAAATGTAATGTTCTTCTGTACAGATGGCAGTGAGGCTGCTAATAACCAGCTCTTAAGGGGCAGAGCTAACCCAAATGCTGAAACAGCTGCTTACATATGCCATCGTTGATCAATGATCCGAAATATTGGGGCAATCCCCTAGATGCAGCTTTGCTTCATGGCACTTTGATTGATTTGTCTAAATGCTCGACTCCAATGCCCCTGCCTGTCTGTTGGAGCAGTATAGTAAATTGTGTTTTCTGAGCACTGTATTGGCAGAGTCATAAGTGTATGTTGCTTGCTGTCTTGGCCTTATTATGGTTGAAACTTTTTAAAAAAAAAAAAAAACGAAAACCTGCTGTTCATCTTGAAATGTGTGACTTGTCACTTACCAGTTGGATGATACAATTTTCAGTAATAAGAATGGAGTAGATATCAGAATACTTTCTGCTTTGCTCCTCTAAATTGTCAAAACTCCTCTGCCAACGTTTGTGTGGAGTTGTCTAGCTAGGAATATTCTTTAACAAAAACAAATTGCTGGAGAAACTCCGGTCTATCAGCATCTGTAGAGAGAAAGCAGAGTTAACATTTTCGGGTCCGGTGATCCTCCTTCAATTCTAATGACAGGTCACTGGACCTGAAGCACTAACTCTATTTTCTCTTCACGGATGCTGCCAGACCTGCTGTTTCTCCAGCAACTTCTATTTTTATTTCAGGCTTCCAGCATCAGTTCTTTGATTTATTATTGGAATATTCTTTCCCTGCAAAAGAGGTGGGACTTAATCATGGGCAATAGGGGGAGAAGCAAAAAAAGGCCAATAAATATTTTTCTCCTACAAACAAATTACCAAGTCCAGTTGTAGTGTGTTGACTGTAAAATAGTGTGATGTTCACAATCCTGTCCTTTCTAAAAGTTGAATGACAACATGCTGTATCTACAAAGATGTGTTTATATTTATTGAGTTCAAAAATTGAGTAGACAAAAGAGGCAATGCATAATATTTAATCCATCCACAGGTGGTTAATGTACTTTTAATAAACTGAACATTTTTTGATACAGGACACATAAGAAATAGACAAGTTTTTAAAAATTCTCAGGATGTCTGATTCTGACAAGACTGTATTTATTTCTCAGCCTCAGTTGCTATTAGAAAATGTTGGTGTGTAAATCGGTGTAGGCAACACTTCAAAGGTATTGACCCAGCATAAATCAAAGGTGGGAGGTGTGTTCTCTAATCACTGTTTCCTTTTGACAATGGTATTCCATTGGCTCAGTTTTTAGCATTCTCCCCTCCGTGACACGATCTAGGTTTAAGTTCTACTCCAAGGTTTGAGCTCAAAAATCAAGGATGACAATCCATTGCAGTACTGAAAGGGTGATACGTGGTTAGAGTATACTTTAATGTTGCTGCCCTCCTGTTTACCCATAGCCCTGATTTCCTCCAGCACACCCAGCCACCTTATGAATATCTGTCCAGTTCAATCTTGAATCATAGAATCCCTACAATATGGAAGCAGACAATTCAACCCATTAAGTCCACACACCAACCCTCCAAAGATCCACCCCATCCCTGTAAACCTACATTTCCCATGGCTAATCCACCTAGCCTGCACATCCCTGGATATTATGGGCAATTTAGCATGGCCAATCCACCTAACCAGTGCATACTTGGACTGTGGGAGGAAACCAGAGCATCTGGAGGAAACCCATGCAGACATGGGGAGATTGTGCAAACTCCACACACAGTGTGGAGGCTGGAATTGAACCTGCAGCCCTGGTGCTGTGAGGCAGCAGTGCCAACCACTGAGCCACTCTGCTGCCCCAAAATACCAATTGAATTGACTTTCTCCACGCTTTTTCAAGTGGTGCATTCCACGTTGTCATAACTGGTTACATGTTTTTTTCCTCTAATCACCTCAACCTCTTATTAATTACCTTAAGTATTTGACCTCTATTTATCTCCCCTTCAGCCTATGAAAAATACAACCCCTATGTATTTAACCCTTAATAATTTTAAGACCTCCATTAAATCTCACTTTGACTTTCTCTAAGGAGAATAATCCCAGATCCATTAGTCTCGCTCCTTATCCCTGATACCATTCTTGTAAATCTGTTCTGGACTCTTCCCAGTCGTTGTTAATAGAAGGGGAAGGAATTAATAGATACACAACTCACAAAGAGTAATGGGCTGAATGGTTTTCAAGTGATGGAATATGTCATCAAAGTGCTTTAAAGCAGCACTTGCTTAGTCCAAACCTGCTAAGTTTGGGTTCTGCCAGGGCCACTCAGTCCCTGACCTCATTACAGCTTTGGTTCAAACATGGACAAAAGAACTGATTTCAAGAGGTGAGGTGAGAGTGATTGCTTTTGATGTTAAGACAGCATTTGGCCAAGTGTGACATCAGAAGCTGTAGCATGACTGGAATCAATAGGACTCAAGAGGAGAGCTCTGTAGTCAATACCAGGCACGTAGGAAGATGTTTGTGCTTGTTGGAGGTCAGTCAACTCAGCTGAAGGACATCTCTGCAGGAGTTTCGAAGGGTAGATATTTTCTAATCGACCTGTTCTGAGATGTTATGACACCCACTGGGAGCAGATAGTACTTGAACCCGCGTCTGTTGGCTTATAGGTAGTGAGATACTGCACCACAAAAATCCAAGTGTTCCTGAAGGTAATGTCCAGTGTCCATCCATCTTCAGCTGCTTCATTTCCTCCTTCATAATCATTAGCCCATAACAGTTGGGATCATAATGTCCAATGCGGCCCTATTAGTACCTGACAGTTCAAGTTCTGACAGGAACCTGGCTGGATAGATCATAACTTTACCTTTTTTTAAAACCAAACTGATTATTGAATAGAACTAACACCTTTGTCTCTAATCAGTGTATGCTGGTACAGCTTACAAGCATTGTTACAATTCTAAGAACATCTAGTGTTGTACCTATAGCAAGACCCTCTCTCAAACAACTTTCCAACACAGGCTGAAAATGAAAGTCTAGAAAATTATCCCCCTCAGCCCACTGGGTAAGTACGTGGGAATTCTGGACAATGTCCTGTCAGTTGGAATTATGGCTATTCTGTTTTTAAAAACAAATGTTAGCTCCAAACATAGACAAATCCATATGTTTACTTGGAATTTCAAGACCCAAACTATGTAAGCAATATTAAAATACACACAAATCTCTGTTTCATGTTAGGTCAGAAGTGAGGGTGTTCTGATAATTAAACTGTTCAGCACCCCGCGTGATTCCTCCGATACTGAGGCAGTCTGTGTCCAAATGTAATGTGATGTGGACAATATCCAAGTTGGACTGACAACCAGCAAGTAATATTCACACTGCAAGTGTAAGCTAATCAACAAGGGAGAATCTGGCCACTACCCCTTGACATTCATTGGCATTACCATCACTGAATCCCCTAGTATCAACATCCTGGAGGTTGCTATTCATTGGAAATTGAATGGACTAACCACATGTTCTTGCTACGAAAGCACGTTGGAAAGTAGGAATCCTGCAATGACTAACTCACTACCTGAATCTCTAAAGCCTGTACATTATATACACAGCAGAAGTCTGAATGTCATGGAATATTTCCCATTTGCTTGGATGAATGCAGCTCCAACAGCGCTCAAGAAGCTTAATGCCACCCAAGGCAAAACCGCCTGCTTGATTGTCACCACATCTACAGGCATTCACTCCCTCTACCACTGATGCTCAGTTGCATCAATGTGGACCATATACAAGTACCTATGTGCACTGCAGAAATCCACCAAGGCGACACAGGCAGCAACTTCCAAACTCACCACTGCTACCATCCGGCAGCATAAGGATAGTATATATATGCAGCACATGCTGCAGGTTCCCCTCCAAGCCCCTCACTACCCTGACTTCTTTTGCTGTTCTTTGTATTGCTGGGTCAAAGTCCTGGAATTCCCTTCCAAACAGCATTGTGATTCAACTGACACCAAATGGACTGCAGCCATTCAAGAAAACAGCTCACCACCACTTTCTCGAGCAACTAGGCATAGGCAATAAATGTTAGCTGAGCCAGTGACATTCGTATACCCTGAATGAACAAAATAAAAGCAGCTTGAAGGACTGTTAGATCATGTTAAAGAGTCAGTGCTGAGGAAACTTTGCATTGACTGTAAATAAATTAATTGGTATTTGGAAAAGAGCAGGTTAATAAATGAAAGTTTGTATTTGTATTTTGATTACTTGATTGGGTTCTTTGGAGGAATAGATGGTTGAGTCTAACGTGGAGGTGTGTATATATAGACTTTCATTTGACTAACAATAGATTTGTCAGTTGAATTAAATTTCTTGACTGAAGAGACACTGGCAAGATGGATATGATATTGACTTAGGCTAAGAGGTAATAAGTCTATGTATGGTTTTATTTTTGAGACTGGAGGGAAGTATGATTTCGGATTAGTGTTGAGACTGGTAATTTAGTATAGATTAGTAATCTAGATTTGACATTACAGAATGCCTTTTCAAAGTTTTTAAGGTGAAAAGAAACACAAATAGAGTCACTACTTGTCCCTCAATTTAAGAATGATGTCCACTCAGCATTGCATACATGTGACTGAGCAGGCTCATTGTTGAT